TTGAAATCAGAAATTTTACTAATGAAGTAAAATTTTGGAAATCAACAATTCTAAGCTTTCCTTTTGTGTTACTAAATTATAGACAGGCATTTCTATATCCTTTAATATCGATTTTCACAATATATGGCGATTAATTAATGCAATTGACAATTACGCAATGATTACAGAAATGTTGTAAATTAAAAATTATGTGTTGACTATATATCTGGCTTTATACGATCCCAAATTTGACAATCATGCAGACGATCAAGAGTGTCGCAATAGTATATTTGTCATTGATAAATTCATCTAGGATAATATTAATATTACGTATTTATTACGTAGAGATGAATGCCATATCAGAAATACAAACTTTTTAATAATTTTAAAACCAACTAATCAAAATTGTTAAAATGTACAAACTCGTATAGAGAGATGTTGCAATAGTTACAAATTTGACGATCATCATGGGTAATTGCAATGCTATGCAGCATGCAAAAATGTCGCAATTGTTAATCATCGTAGATATCATAATGCCAATGCAGTTTATAGGAATGTTGCAATTGTTACTAATTCGATGATCATTGTACGTAGGATTGTAACTATTAGATATGTGTAAATATAAAGTTGCATTTTCATTACGGCATTCTCGATATTCAAAATTAATTATTAATACGAAAAAATGTCGTAAGGTAATCTATTACAAATAATTTACATCACACCTCACAGGTAGCCAATCGAAAACGTTTAAACAGACAAACTCTGAATTAGATGGTTTAGATATAGCATTAAGCGTAGTAAATATATAAGGAAAAATGAAAATATGATTTTCTTTTAGAAATTCTATTTTTATCCAACATTTCCCTATGATTTGCATTAATCATCCGGATGTTTCCAGTAGTTTATAAAGGAATTATGGTAGCTAAAAATTAATTCTGTATGGTCTTAACTTTTATGGTGTTAACATTTGTGATGATTGATGCTGATTTCGATATTTACTAGTAATGGGGAAATGCATATTTTATAATAACATGTGCATGATATCGCGTGATATAATTTTTAGAATTTATATTTTCTCTTCATAAAATATTGAATACATGCTCAAATTTTTACCCTGATCTTGCTCTTCTTTTATGTTTATACATTTTCTTTTCAGAATTTTTGAGACTTTTGCATCAGTATCCTTAATTCTTCCTAACAATACGCTCCCTGGCCAGCATTATGCCAATTTAGACCAGCATTATGATGATAGCTTACATTACGTGCAAAATAGGTACTATATTTTCATATGATATAATAATGAAATAAGTAATTTTGAAAATTTTAAGATTTAGAGTACTTGGGGGTCATTATAAAAAAGCTCATCAAAAGAAGGATGGCTCTACTTTTATATTTATTGGCCAAATTAATTTTATTGTGAGTTTCATCAATCGTTAGTAATTTTGTCAGTTTCATCGTCAGAAGTTTCATCAATCATCAATAGTTTCATCAATCATCAGTAGTTTCATTAATCGTCAAGGTTTCGTCTTACAAAACCATTAACAAAACCATTAACAAAACTATTTTAGCACTGTGAAAATAGTTTTGTCAGGCATCATTAATTGGGACTATCATAATTTAAGTTACTGCAAAAATTCTGTTACTGGTTATTATAAAAATTATTTTACAAACCTTATTACAGTATTCCAAGATGTGGTTTACTAATGTATTTTATTAACATTATTCATATCCTAGCTAAATGACATGTGAAAATTGATTTTTAAAAAATCATAAGTAACAACAGAATCATAGTTAGAATGTAACTTTAGTTGTTTTTGTATTGATTCGCATACCTCAATTTTACATGTTGATAATCAATTAGTAATGACTTACTTTGAATGTTTGGAGTAATAATTGCAGAAATGTTGTAATAATTACTTAAACTATAATAATTCATAATCTTACATATATCTATGTAAATTTTTTTACATTCAGGTTACATTTTTCAGATATGACAAATAAAAAGCATTAAAGCACGCAAACTCAGAATTTAGTTGTAAAGAAGATTATAGTAGTATTCATAATTTAAACCCAACAAATCACAAGAAATTAGGCTATATATGTTTATAAATTATTTTATGCTGTATTAAACCTAATAGTCTTTTTGGTCTGTCTATAAAAGACCAGACTGGCCAAGTTCTAAGATAGAGCACAAACTCAGGTTTTAGTCAGGCTGATTAACAGCCCTAAATGTGTATATTATCTAAATTTATTATGCCAGATCAAATATCACAAAAATCATAAAATCATTAACTTAAAATTTTAAACTGCTTAATATCTGGATACTTCTCGTTCCTGGTTTTGTGCAGTAATATTGCACAGCTACCTTATTGTAAAATAATAGATGTCAATGACTATCACATTTTATTAGTGATAATTTCAGTATAATACTAGCTTGATTGGTCATAAAGTAGCAATTACATAAATACTACAGTATCTATTAGATCAATATTGGCCCATGTAGATATGAGTTGGCTCTTGGCCCATCTGGCTCATGGGCTGGGATCAATACAGGTTTTGGACATCAATTTTGGACATCCCTATCAAAAATACATCTATTCTTAGTATTAAATACATGTTAATGATTTTTATTATTTGGGATGGGTACTTTTTGATAAGGATGTCCAAAATTGATAGCCAAAACCTGTATTTAGAGAAAATAGCCAACTGTGGCATCCAACCAATTGCAAAATTTTGATGATGAACATTTTGAGCATTTTGGTAAACCTATAGTTGGTGGCTAAATTACAGCCTTTTACCAATGATAAAAAATTAATTATAGCACAGCATCTAATTGCTATAAATATTATCTGCTATAATGCCACAATAACACAAAATTGTAATAATGTGATATCGTAATACTATAACACTATAATATTATAATATTAACAGAATAGAGAACATTACTGAGAGAATTACTTATATGATACATAGTTATTTTAATGAGCAAAAGGTAGTGAAGTTGGTGGTGTTTGTATAGATTAGCTAGTGGTGTGCAAATTATAAATTTGTATGAGAATATTGAATAGGGTTTTGAAATGTAGTGCACCCAGTGTTGGGCCTGGACATTGGACTACCCTTGTCCAATTTATTGGACCAGAAAGTATTGGACATTGGATATGGTCCAATAATAATATATAATATTATATATTATGATTAATATAGAGCTTCTATGGACTTGAACCAAACCAGAAGTTTGATTTCAGACAGAACCCAAACTGGACCAATGTAAAAAGACTGTTTGAGTTTGGTTCAAAGTCAAACATTTGAAACATGTTCAAGTCAGTTTGGATTCAGTCTATTTACAAACTAGTCTAGGTCCGATTGAGCTACTAGTATATATATGATCTGGGTGGGAGTGCTTTGTAGAATCTTAAACTAATTTAGCTTTGTTTGTGAATAAATAGTAATTAAAGCCAAATTGTTTATATTGATAAACTAACACACATAATTACAGAGTATAAGGTTTCTCTTTATTAACATAAATCAATTCACTTCATGAACTAAAACCACACCCATATATATATCTCTCTAATTCATATGAGGGTTTTTAATCTCTTACTTGGAGCTTCAATCCCTCAATTAGGCTAAACCCAAACCTTGGGCCCTATATTGATAGTATTACTTGTATAAATTATAATTCTAAACTCCCAATATAATTAAAAAATTTTGCTTACATAAGATAAGTGGACATACTAGACCTGGACCATGTTCATATATATGTTCAATATCCATATCCAGTCCAATGGCATTAAAAATGAGTGGACATATGTTCAATGCCAATACTGAGTACACTTGTACTGCAGTGTATTCTAGCTATATCTCAAAATTTTATTAGAGTAACTCCTGTTATATAACTAACAAAAAATGTTTTTCTTGCAATTTTACCTAACTCTAACCCTAGCTCTAGCCCTAACAAATCTTAACTTTAATTAAAATCTGCTATATCTCAAAATTTTACTAGGGTAATCCTGTCATGTATCTAAGTAAAAATGTTTCTCTCGCAATTTTATCTAACCTAAACTCTAACTCTAACTAACTAACTAATTATATTATTAGATTTGAACTT